TGTAGATTTATATTTATGCTTGTTTACTGTTTGTTTATGCTTCTGTTCTATGTTGTTTTTGTTTTCTTTCTCTGTCATTCTGTTTGTTTGCCATTCTTTTATTTCTTTTATTATGGGTTTTATCCATCCTGACCCGTTTCGTTTTTGTTTCTTCTGTCTCTTGATTTATTTATTCCTTCTCTCTTCTTCTCTGCTCTAAACTAAGGTTTCGTGGTTTAGGGCCTAGTGTTTAGAGACTAGGGTTTACGCTGAAGGGCTTATAGACTAGGCACCCTAGGGTTTAGGGTTTAGGGTTTAGATATTAGGGTTTGGTGTTTAGCACCTAGGCGCCGTTTACTTTTGAGATGTTAAGGGTATGCAGATTAGGGTCTGCCGTGTAAAAGCTAGGGTTTGGGGTTTAGGGTTTAGAGTTGAGAGCAAGAACGGCATATCTATGCTGTTGAAGGTTTAGTTACGGCATACACAGCGAAGAGAAAAACCATAAACCCCAAACCCTAAACCCTATTTATAGTAAGACCTAGCCGAAGTCAGCACAGGAACATTGGCTTGGCTCTATCAGTCTGCCTGCAAGGAAATACGGACGAGCTATAAACCCCTACAGAGCTAATGCATGTAGTAAAGGAAGACTCTTTGAAGCTTGCTTCTTAGCGCTCACATGTGAGACCAGCTCGCATGCCGGGGTTATGAGGGCTTAGGCACGGGCAAACATCGATAGAATGTTACGCTGAGCAGCACCGGATAGCAGTTAACAAAGTCTGCTGTGGGCCCAGAGTTTAAGTACCATTGGCCCATCACAAAGTTTTCCTCACTATGAGTGGCTCATTGCCGGGCTGTCTTGCCTTGAAAGAAAACTAGTGAAAAGCTGGGCCGTAGAGAAGGAACAAAGGGGAGAAATGTTTGGGCTCGCTGACATGACGGATGATCTCCGTATAAGAGAAAGAAATGATGCCAACTCTCCTACCTCAGCTGAGAAGGCAAGACGCGGCGTGCGGGAGGCTCCGATATAGAACCTATGGATATTGAGGCCATGCATACCAGGCCCGCCTGGAGAGGGAGTAGAAGCGGCAACTGGCATTCGGCAGAGAATTCGACTCCCAGGTCACCGGAAGGACGTACTGAGGGGCAAATTTGCTTTTTCCGCAACGACCCGGGCAACATATTTCGGGATTGAATAGCTATAAAAAGACTAGGGACCCAGCGAAACGGAAGCGCGAGCAGAGGCGCCCGGCAAACAAACAAAGCGATTAACAAAATGCCCGCGCACACACGCAACTTACGGCGCAGTAGTGGCGCCGAGAGCGATGACAGCAGCACCCTCAGAGCCACCTTGAGTCACTTCCGTGCTTGTGCAAATTCGCATTAGAGGCCAGGAGTTGGTAGCCGTACTACATACGGAATGCGAAGTGAAGCTGGTGTCAGAAGCCGCGGGAAGGAGGTACAACTTACTCGTCCGCTCGTTGGCGCAACCACTGAAGCTAGGCTTCGAAGATCGTAGGCAGGACACAAGAATCAGCAAGCGTAGCATCGTAAAATGCTCTCTTATTTCCAAACCAGGGCACGTTAAAATGCCGACGGACTTCTGCGTTGGACCAGTTCACCACAACATAATCCTAGGCATGCCGTGGGTGACCCAGTGGAACGCGCAAATGCGTTCGCCAGATGACGCCATGTGGGTCTTCCCTCCAGGAAGTAGTGAGAGTGTACACCTCTCAGAGCTCTCAACGGCATCTGCATCATCTATGGTCAGAGAAGCAGAAACTGTGTCCCAAGGAGAGCGGAGTGTGGAGGCTCTCATGCAATGGAGAGGCACTGAAGGAAACGGCGGAGATATGCATGCAATCGGTCTTGACAGTTTCGCAAAGACGGCAGTCTTGCAGGATCCGATCCAGTTAGGACCCGAGGAACGGCAGAAGTTGGCAGAATTGAAGGGAGAGTTCTCGGTTGTACTCAATAACAAAGGGTTACAGGCGGGCAGGCCACCCGCGTGACGCTTAATGCACCGTATCGGCTTATTCCCGGCGCAGCCTCAAGCTGCGTTCCAACGTGCCGGAGATTCCCACACCTTGAAGAGGAAATTGAGCGACAGGCGAATAAACTTCTAAGGAAAGGCAATATTCAGCCATCAACTAGCGCCTCTGGAAACAATGTTGGCTAAGAAAAAGGAAGGCAGATGGCGCATATGTGGTGACTTCATGCCCTTCAAAAAACACGCGGTGAAACAGGAGTTTCAGATTCCCCGGACTGACGAAGCCCTTGCGCGCTTACAGGGTTCAGCGGTATACGCAGGATTTGAGTTCACCCAGACATTTTTGCAGATCCCAATTCATCCGGAGGACAGGCACAAAACGGCACTCCATACCCGCATATATATATATATATATATATATATATATATATATATATATATATATATATATATATATATATACATATCCAAATCCAGCATATAGATTGAATGCATTTCTGGTGTTACTGTTTTGTTCTGCAGCAGCTGGATCGAAAGTGTTGGCTACCGGGGTGAAAATCAGAAGCTCCAGAACAGCTGTAAGCCATTTGTATTCACGAATGCACCTTCCGTACACCAACGGTAGGTTAATAACGACCCCTTGGAGCCAATTGTTGAAGGGCATATTGTGATATATATGGGTGATCTGCTTGTGTTCAGCCGAAACGTGCAAAAGCACTTGCAGCTCCTCCGGCGTGCCCTGAAATTACTCAGGGAGAAGCCGTGGTTCGAGAAGCCGCAAGACTGTTCTTCTGGTATGCGAAAAATCAGTTCCCTAGTGTTTCGTGTCTCTGCAGCAGGGCTTGAACCAGATGTAGCCAAGAGCATGGCGATTCAGAGGTGACCTGTATCGCTGTACACGCAGACGGAGATTCAGAAGTTCCTCGGCCTCGCCTCACCCTACCGCAGATTTATTCCTTTAGTCGCTCGCAGTACACTAGTTCGGCTTTCGCCTCTCCGTCCGAGCTCTTTTTATCAGCTCTGTTTTGCACGTCCGAAGCTCATCAGGCGCCTCGAACCGGATCAGCGCTGCACACTGGTGACTCGCTGTGGCGGTTATATAATCCGTACCTTGATTCATGAGCGTTTATCAATAGTGGACCCAGCTTCAGCAAAGCAACCTCTACGTGAGTCGGACGGACATTTGGCTCCGTTGCGAGCGAAAAAATGCGCAACCATATTTGCAGCTGTGTGAGATTCTTGCTCCTGAAGAGACAGCGAAGCTGCACACTCAAGTCGATTGATAGGTGATTCCTTCACTTTTCAATTACTTTGGGCGTGGCTTCGTGACCATACTGGTCAAAGATTTCGCAAAAGTTGTGGTGGACTGGCAGACGGGTGATTTCCTTGAGGCCAGGACCCGACTAGCATCTCTTCCCTTTTCGTGGCTCCTTCAGCGCAAGGGGCGATTTAGTTCGCTCTTCAGAGGTCAACGCGTTGCAGCAGGATTGCGATCGTGTGCGTGAGATCCACCCTGCGCATTGTTCCCTTTTTGCTCATCAAAGTCCTTCTGGTATCATGGAGCGGCTTTACAAGCCCCAGTTGACGCAGTCGGAGGCTCCATCCCCGTACCTTCGTGCGATTTGGCTCAGCTTAGAGAGGAGTTGGAGAAGCTTGTGAGCAAGCCGATGATGTTTGATGCTCCTCTGGCGTTTAGCGGCATTGATTCAGTTATCTTTGCATCAATTGTCTGCAGAATATACAAAAAAAGTTTAACAAATAACACAACGGACATTTCTGTACCACTACGATCCTTTCCTTTGCAATACGCCTGACGGGACCTCTGGATTTTGAGTGCTCCTGTATGGTGGCGAAGGCCGGGGTTGAGGCGGTGCGCATCGTGAATTCACGTTCGACCTACAGGCTTCATTTGACCTCATTTATATGATTGAATCGTATGATGTACTGACGGTGCATGTGGCTCCTTTGAATAATTTCCTTTATCGCCTAATCAGCAGCAGCGAAAACTGCAGCAGCAGAAACAGCAGCAGCAGCAGGAGCAGGAGCCCAAGCAGCAGCAAACCACATGCAGCAGCAGAACAGCACGATGAACCTCTCGTGTTGCAAGACGAGCAGCAGCTGCAAGGTGAGCAGCAGCAGGCGCCACGAGCAGAACCAGCACCAGCAGCACCTTCAGCACAACCCAGTTCCTCTCGCGAATTTTCTTTAGGTGGTTGATATTAGCGGAGATGCCTAGAGAACGAAGAAGCAGTTTATTCGCTTCTGAGGCGAAGATGCAATCGCTGCGGCTTCAGAAGTGCCTCGTGGCGCTCATCCTACACTGAGGAAAGGGTGAATTTTGGTTGGACTCGAATGCAAGCAGTGACACATCGATGGGAACAAACAGATTTGCTGTTCGTAAACCGATTGGAGATAATCCGATTATCAGGAAGGCGGTGTCTGTACACCCGAAATACACATATAGAGTCCGTCAGCAAGCTAAAAGGAAAAGGGGTCATATGGGCATCGATACGAGAGATAGTACGTGGAATCCGCTTCTTTCGGCTAAGGTGTTGTAGATAAGAAGACAGAAAGTATTGCGGCGAACGTTAGAGAAGTGTAGATACAAAACGAAGATAGATAGCCACGTCTACAACCACCTGTATTTGCTTTGCGATGGGAACCAATTCCATAACAAAATAGTTTTAACTGAGGCAATTCATAAAGAGAATAATCTGGAGGTGAAGGGAAAAGCACTCCAGGAGCAAGTAGATGGAAGAAGATGAGCATCTAGAATAGCAATAACTACCACAAGAGGCCCTTTGTATATTACTGGCACAGCTGTCTTGGATGAAGCGTCCGCGCCCTTCAAAAAGCTCCATTGGCGGTAAACAGTTGCAAGTGAGAATATATCCGCCTTTTTCCGAGCGCCGCTTTGCGCACGGAGCGTGAGGGAAGCAATAAACGGCTCGTAGTAAATCGGAAGACTGACGAACAGGTTTTTCGCTCTACTAGCCAGCCTTATATATATATATATATATATATATATATATTGCAAGAGTAGAGCTCCGCCAGAAGTGATTGCCCTTTGTGAGCTGTTCACAGCGTCACCTGCCCGGCCGCCGGATATACCGGGCATTTCAGAAGTCCCCTTTACAAAGACGAAGAAAATGTTGTTTCTTCCCGTTGTGTCGAAGCCACTGATAAACGTCAACGAAGCGGAGGGGAAGGAAGGCATTCCCAGCTATACTCGCCGTTTGGTTCCAAGCGATTTCGTGCCTTGTTGCCTGACTTCCTTTTGCAGACGATTGCAGCCGTCGCCGCAACTGAATTTGAACGTGCTAAGCGGTAACGGTGAGGATCAAATTCTGCACCTAGATGTCAAGGAATAAACAGTTAGCGTGCATCGAACGCCATACCTTATGGGAGAAACTCCCCTTCAGAAACGCCAGTCTAAGGGGAGTTCGGGGCCTTAGGGATCATGTGGCCCTCGGAA